CAGCAGGGAGACATCGGTGATGTTATTGAAGGTTATCAGAAGGACGAAAAGGTAATAGTTCTGTGTTTATGTCAGCAAGCAACATATTTTTCTCTTATATGTTTTTAATTTTATGAGCTTTTTCTTAAAAAACTTTTTATTTGCGTCATATTTTTCATTCGCATTTTTGTCCCATATTCCGATGCTCATGAAGCTTTCATGTTCCATCATGGATCCCTTCTTTTTTCTACGGCTTCTTTCGCATTGTTATCTCATCTGATTTCCCTGACTGCTATTTTGTATTTACAAAGGCCTTTAAAAATCGTTTTCGAAATACTTGTACTGTTACGTATGATTTTATCATCAAAATTATTAATACTATTTTTTATACACTCCTAATGGGATATAGTTATAAAACTGGACAATAATAGCCTTCTGAGATGCATAGCATGGTGAAGTTCAATGGAAAATTCAGGCTTTTTCTACAATTAACTGTGGAGAGACATTATCATTTCGATAAGCCAATTCAAGTCTCCCGAACCTTCAAATTTAGACCTTGCCTTTTATAGTGTAGATTAATTTAAATAAAATTTTTGATTTAGATTTAATACATGTTTATTACAGTAATCAGATTTTATGCTTTTATTATCTTTGACCTGTTCTTTCTCTCATATGACTTCCCTCAGAGTCGAGAGAAACTACGTTCTAGCCTTCGAGCCTATTGTCAGCGTCTCGGCCGGTATCACATGCCCCTTGCTTGGACAGCAATCGACCTCTCTAATTTGATTGAGGAAGCACTTACTATCGATGTAGGAAACGAGGTAGCATCTGCTGCCGTCACCACAGCTACATCTGAAAGAGGGCAACGATACTCTTCCTCACATTTGCTTACGCCTTCTGTTTTGGTTGGATCATTGGATCTTCGTCCTCTACCACCTCCACCTATCCGTGGTATGCTCTTTAATCATTGCACCATCTCCAACTTGGCATAGTTGGCTAAATTTACTTAATATGGGTGCTAGTCAGGATATATATTACGTCATTAAAGAGTGAACTTAGATGTATTCTTCTTTATGCATCATTTCCGTTTATTCATGTTTTGAACTACTTAGTTTAACGTTTTATAAACATGGGTGTGCGGGTTAAAAGTCAATGAAAATGAACAAGAGAGTAGAGGTAAAGTCAGCGACAATTTCACGTACTACCTGGGCAAACTTGGAGATTCAGCGAAGACATCAAAAAGAAGGCGCTTGGACCCTTCAGGTAACCTATTTACTGTAAATTAGAGGAGGGACGCTTTCGGATCCGTCCCATATATATCATTTAAATATCAGTTATCTCATCCTTCACTTTTACGACTGAGGGTGCTTATAACACCTTATTTTAATCAGTCTCATCTATTCATTCACACCTGTTTAATGTCCTATTAATTCAACTTGGAGCCTTATCCCCTTTTTACTCCCAATTCGTATTTATTCATTTTCGTCGCCTTACGTGTTATCACAATCGATCTCAAGAAGCAATCTTATCCTAAAATTTTCAAGATTGTAATTGCTTAAAATATGCTCTGGCTATAATAACTGACACGATTTGCTAAGTAGTGTAGCCACATGGAAGAAACACCACGATTAAATTCTGCATAGAAGCGCAGCGTGGAAGTGCCATGCTAAAATGAA